TATTTTGAAATAATAATTAACATTAACATTATTATTAAGGCAAAGAAACTATGACGTAAATACACTCACTATAATCAATATTTATTGAAATTAATTACTATAATAATCGGTTGCAGATGTAAATAAATTAGTCATGTTCCACTAACGAAGTCGAAATCCCAATTTTACCAGCATTACATGCTGCGTAGGTGAAACATGTCGCATGGAGTTATGATTTCGGGACTGTTTTAGTGCAGACTGATTTGAACAGTGACTAATGACGATGAAATGAACCTAATAACAATCTATGACAAAGCGATACTCTGTGAAAGCATTATTTGAGAATGAACCGAAACAAACACGCCAGCATATTATTATTTTATAATGACAAAACTGAGCTTTCTGGGGGCCAATTCTACTAAATAAATTTTGTTTAAATCGAATCGAAAACGGATCGAAACCGAACGAAACTATTTTAGCTGGAATTATATCGTATGTCACTTAGTAGAATTGAAAAACCATTAAAAACTGTAGTTTCGTTCGGTTTCGATCTGTTTTCGATTCGATTTAAACTAAATTTATTTAGTAGAGTTCTCTGTTTTTCAAGAATCCTCTCTAAGAATTTCATGAGAAATATTTAGTTTACTTTTTATAGTGATATTATTGTGATTTTGAGAATTATATCTATAAATGTTATCGATAGTTTGCCATATTACGATATTATCGCAAACAATTCTGTTTGATCTCAAATCATATACCTACATGAATAATTTAACATTGATCAAGCGCTTCCTACCTGTGGTGAAACCTATTACAGTTAGGCATATGAATTAAAAACGAAAATCTAAAAAGAAGAAAGACTTTAGTCTTATGTGAACACGGAACCTGTAAAGGGTCCGAAACGTCAATAAGACTAAAAACAAACGCGATGAAATCGTTTAAATATAAGAAATCAATATCGAAAAGGATTGATGTGAATGCTAAAAAACTATGGAAGTTTAAAACTAAAGCATTTAGAATGGGTGTATTAACCTTGAAAAAAGAAAAAATACATGAATTACCTAATTTAAAAAAAAATAACTAAAGGTAACATTATGCCTAATATTATAAGAAGTTATGTCTTTGAATACTGATTAAATAAAACCTTTATTACTTTTTGAAGTAGATTTTGAATAACAATAATAAATATAAAATAAATAGCACTGCAGTATTAAGACACTAATGAAAGAGGCACATTATAAGAGGTCTGATTACGAGTATTTCTGAGTTCAGAACGCGCATGAGAATGTGCATAATTTCTGTAAATGACTCGGTAGTATTATAATCATCAATATCGTCATTATAAGTCGATAGAGACATTATTTATAGTACCTTCAACAATACATTTGATTTATAATAAGATCAACAATTCTATCGCCAGTTTTTCATTATTCCTGAAAGTTGGTATTTGAGATAGTCCAATCGATGTAGTAAAAAAACAGCCAAGAGCGAGTCGGATTCGCGTATTAAGGATTTCATACAATTATCTTTAAATATTTTTCGTATTTGTTGTTATTGCAGTAACAGAAATATATTCATGAAATTTCAACTGTCTAGCTATCATGGTACGTCAGATAGTCTGATAATAGATAGACGGACAGCGGAGTCCGTAATAGGGATCCCTCTTACTCTTTGGGTACTGAACCCTAAAACGCTAACATAAACAGAGCTACTTATAAACAAGGCTTAGCGTCAGAGTAAATTTACGCTAAAATTGCAACTTTAGTATTAGTCCATATTCATATTACACAGAGAATAAGCAAATCTACTACCTTCTAGGAGAAAATATTACTCCCGTGGAACATCGTACTAGGTTAACCTTTGTTAAGTCTCTGTTTAATAATATGAATTTTGACTAATTCGAAGAGCAGTCTCACTGTAAATTTACTCCAACTAAACCTTGTTTATAAGTAGCACTGAAAAAGTTTAGTAATTAGTTCCTCTAGGTTATCTCTTCAGTTTATCCAATAGAAACTTATAATTATATTATTAATTAATATGATAAGTGCTCTTAGTAAGTAATTATTGTAAGTATAATACAAGTATTCAAGTTGCGAACACCGTGTTGACATTGAATTTAAACCGCTCAGGTGGCATTCACATAGTATAATCCTTACATTACTGTCACTTCTGACATCCATTGAAATAATTCAATTAAGTTAATCTTGATTGGAGTTATGGATTGGCAAATTGGAAGCAAATAAGATTAGGAATTACTTAATAACACGTTACCTAAGTCCCTACGGGCACCAAAAACAAGCATGACTGTTTGAATAAATAATATCTACTGAGAAAATACGCTTAAGAGTAATCTAAAGTTTTAAAGTTAAAACTAATTAATATTTACAATTTATTTCCATCTATTTCCTAGAAAATTTCAATCAGTTTAGTAGTTTTGATGAGAACCGGACGAAAAGACAAACAGACACTAAAATACGAGTGACTATAGAAGAATTCCGTATTTTTTTCTTTTGAGATATGGAACGTGAAAAGTAAAGAAAACATAACCTATCACGGAATGCATTCGACAAACAAAATAGAACAATGCGCATTCCAAAGTTCGCACGCTATCAGTATTTACATTTACAGTAGGATCACCTACATGGAATCATACGCTAGGCTATTGACTTTACTCTTATCAGAGTATCTTATGGTACAGTTGATAACAAGCTTGCAAAAAATACCGGAGGTAAACAAAGACAAAGTATTTTAAAGGAAACCTTTGAGTCAACGGATCATTAGATGTTTCTAAACTGGGGAACCCCGTAGGATTTAACTTATTACTATGATTAAATTTAACGTTATATCATCATCATCGTTCATCACCTCTGTTACGTCCCCACTGCAGGGGCTTAGGCCTTTCTTATTGGTTAAGGGCCATGACCCTTCACACTGGCCAAATACGGATTGGAGGGTATTAACGACTGCAAAATATGTCTGCACAAACGGCTTAAAGTGAATTCCGAAGCATGGCAGCAGTAGCTCAAAATAATATTTTTTGGTCACCCATCCCGTGACCGACCCTTGCGAAAGTAGCTTAGATCAACGCTGATATTTTATAAAACAGCAAAACAGATAATGGGAGAGAATGGATAAAAAAATTCAAAGAAATATAAAGAAAAAAGTATATAATGCACATACGCAATCAATAAGTAAACACTAAAATTGAAAATATTACGATCTGTCAGCGTGTACAGAACAATGTTATTTTCCATTACTTCATAAAAGATAGAAGGCGATAAGCTGATAGTGCTAATGTAAGTTACATTTCCAATCAAATAATCAAAGTGTGATTATTTGAAGACCTCATTTCATACTTATACACGAAACAAAAAAATTAACAAATTAAAAGTCAGTTGTGAAATCCCCAATATTTTTTCTTTATACAAGTCCTTCCAGCATTAAGTAACTTTAATATCAATTTTGTACATAAGAAGAAATATTTTAAGGGCTATTGTTAATTTATTAATAACTAGCTTTCGCCAGCGGCTTGACCCGCGTGGTCCCTAGGGAAATGTTAAATGGGATAAAGATTATCTAAGTCAGCCAATACCCTATCTGTATACCAAATTTCATCAAAATCCGTTCAGTAGTTTCGGCGTGATTGACCGACAAACATCCAAACATCTAAACATCCAAACAAAGAAACTTTCACATTTATAATATTATTGGAAATAATAGGACTTATTAAATGACACAGTAGCATTATCGATTGAAAAACAAAATTATTATTAATTGCGCAATACTAGTAACTCTTTATATTAGAAATAATATACTTATTACAAAGAGAATTATTGCTCACTAATTGTCTACTCACGTACTGATAGTGCTACACTAACAGCTACAAATTGACTCATAATCTCTCTGATTTAAATAAGTATATTATTGATTTTAATATACAAGTTTGTTTACTACGAATTCAATGAAAACATAATACTAAATATAATTGTATACTGCAATTTACATTACAAGGAGATACATTTCATTTAAAATCTGGAATTTGCCATCCTGAATGCATACAGACAGTATAGTGAATCGCTTTAGATTTTTACTTATGAATATTGAACAGAAAAACTAGAATACAATCAACTGATGATTAAGAGCACTTGGAATAAGGCTTCCGTTCCATCTATTACTACTTTAATTAATAAAATTGTACTAAGAAATAACTAGAAAAATCCCTAGAAGTCTATCATAGGATTAAATATATTGACGTTTATGTTGTCGTTACTGGTAAAATAATGAAATGTGCCTCGAGAAATTTTCAAGTGACTCATTATTACTGTCCAAATGGTAGAGCAAGTAGACGGTAACAAAAAAGTAAAAGATTAACGCAGCATGTAAAGGTTTCTTATATAAGGCAAGATTATATTATTATACATTATCTACCTTTTGTTTTTATTCTGGTACCGATTCTATAACAATTTTAACTTTCAAGCTATTCATACTCTATGTTGATAAAGTGACAAACTGAAAGACAGAGGAACGGCCACTCTAAAAGAAACTAAAGTCTCTCTTCATTTTAAACTATTACGAAAAGAGAAGTGTATAAAAAATAAAACTTTTATAATATTAAAGTAAATTTAACAAATAAAATGAAGTAATCCAATAAACAATCGTCAAAACATGTGCTATAGTAACTTATTAATCTAATTAACCAACGTTAAGCCATTAGCGTCGAAAAAGCCTTGATGTTAGGCACTGTAATTAAATTAAGAGCCCCAATTAAGCTGCAGGCATTTTCAAATAAATCAACGCTCTTCTTTTTAAGTCATTAAATATAATTGATTTTAGCATCAACACCAAAAAACAGTATTCAAATACGGTTGGTTATAAGATGCATGCTGGTGAATCAGAAAAAACTGCAATCATTGTTTTAAATATATTTTATATTTCTAAACATATTAATTTTATTTTTAAATTAAAATATTCTCTACATCAATTTAACTTTTTTTTTACTGATAAAACATGAAATTACTTACCAGATTTGCCTGAACGTGCACTCCCGAGCACCACAACTCTTATTCGATTAACTGTCATCTTCATTTGTACTACGGTTCAACACTAGTGCACTGTTTTTCTAATTTTACAATCAGTGCATTGATTTATAATATTGCAATATTTCGTGTTCTAATTTTGATTATTGTCAAATCGCGATGGCGGCAACTCGATCAGCTGTTATTTCAGAAATGGAAGCACGCGCGCACTACGCACCTGCTTGCGAGCGACTGCCGTCAAACACAATTGGCGCAACACGCAGTCGGACAAACAACTAATGAATAGCGAATACTATTACGTTGCGGGAACTTTTGTTGCATTCTTATCTTATTTCGTCTGCAGCTCGAGGGCTTGAGCTTAGTGTGTCCGAATCTAAAATGCATGATTCATTTATTAAGCTATGTAAAACGCTTTGACCTTATTTTAAACGGATTCGTATTAATTTATGTTATCATTCTGTTTGATATTTCATCTATGTATTTAGAACTACGTTCTTCGTATTTACTATTATTGGAATAGATTATAAATAAAAACCCATCTTATTTTACGTATTTTTATATTCCCAATTTCAGTGGTTTTATTTCGTATTTTCCTACTTTTATTAGTTTTTTTTTTATCATCGACAATAAACGGTCTCAATTATACATTTAAAACGGTTTTTTGTTTAGAGGATAAGATTAACTTCACGTATAAAGAACAGCCAGCGCGATGCAATTAAGTTGCGCGAATTGCATTACACCATGACTAACGCAAAAAATCAAATTAAGCTAACCTCAAGTCTTAATCTTTCCGAACCAGAAATGACTTCAAGGATGCCTACTAAACTCTATATTTATTTTTTTATAACAAAATGATATCTGTATCCTTGAAAATATATATCCCCTGAAAAACTTTGAACAGTTATTCTGAATAACTTTAGTTATTCATTACGTTACATGTAAGTAAAGGAACGAAAGTTCGTACCGTCAAGAAATGTCAGAATGTGCCGAACATATTGTCAGCATCTTGTGACATTTATTTTAGTGATTTATTTTTTAAACGCGATTAATGTTTTGAATTGAATTTTAAATTAAATAATTTACATTTTTCGGTTTACGATTTTTCCGAAAACACAAGAGATATTAAGACTTACTCATAACCCTGATATTAAAATTTTTATATGTGTTATTTCAAAATGAAATAGAGTATACTATTCACGCGTCAATTTTTATATTAATTATTAATATTACTTAACAAAAGTGAAACTTATATGTAAATTATTATCGTGTAATACTCGTATTCTTTGAATACGAATACAGGCTGCATTGCTGTAATCATTAGTCTTTTTACCGATTATGTTTTCACTGTAGTTTATTAAATGCTGATTAATCATTAAAACTAACACTAAAACTCTTGTTTTATATTTTACAATTTAAAATGAATTTTGCCAACCCTGTCAAGTTATAAAGTTTAAATAATTCCTTTTACGTGTTCCGACGTCATTTTATGATGTCCAGTTCCTATTTTTTTATATTTAGTTAATTGTTTGCATTGCAAAAGCATTATATACGGAACTGGAAATATCCGTACTCATCATCAGCCTATTAATGTCCCCACTGCTAGGGCTCAGGCCTAAAGTCGGAAAAATCCGTCCTTATGTAGTCCCAGCCATGATTCCATCTGGTTTAGTCACCATATCGTTCCTCTGGCGGTAATCAAACCTAGAAACCTCAGCCGAGTCTACCTTCGCTAACCAATTGCAAATCCACCGGTGACCAGCCAACAGGCCTCATCACCGGTTTCACTGCGCTAACAAAGAGCCTCAGTCGCAGTCTGATTAGGTTCAACCACCACCCGCGGGTCGTATTCCAGGATATGTCCTCCACGCAAGTCAATGGCTGAACCCGTGGACCACGACTAAGACCACTGGTGAGCTATCATCATCGGAACACAAAACTCCGAGGCGACAGCTCTGAAAAATAAATATATATATAGTTGATATTCCCAGACATACGTACATACATACACATGAATTTCGCTCTCCCCTCCCAATGGATAGAGAGAGCGAAATTTTGGAACGAGTAATCCCAGAAAGCCTCACAAAAATCTGGACATCGCACTGACCGAAGCTTACGTGCTACTTGATCCAAGAACTGCTTGTCTTTGACCAGGCACCGTTCTCCTAGTGTAGATCACAACCAGGTCTACTCTATCACCGATTCCCCCCCTAACTCCTTATCACACGGCAGCTGAACAACTGGACAGGCCACACTAGGGTAAGAGCATCGCACAATCCTGGGGCTCAGGCCTTCCCTATGGATGGGCCACACGGGCCCAGTGCGGATTGGTGGGTATTAACGACTGCAGATGCAGCCAGCACCAACGGGTTAATTCCGAAACACGGAAGAATTCGAGATAATAAATTTTAGGTCACGTCCTATGACCCGGCTATTGCGAAAGTTGCTTAACAACCGTATCACAAGCCGAGCGCGCTAGCCACAGCACTATCGAGCTCCTAATATCCGTGCTAATATCACAGAATAACGATCATCTACATAGACTGCTAATATCATGAATAGGAAAGTGTTTATTTGTTGGCTCTTCCTTTACATAGCAACGAAATGTCGTTATAGTAGATTTTTTCAATGGAGCTAGTTGGTAGACTGGAGAATGACGTAGACTTTTTCTTCTTATGGTGCCGTTTTCTTACGAAGATTGGCGAACATAAGGATGTTGACATAGGGATGGGATGTCACCACTGTACCGAGTGGCGGTTTAAAGGGTTAAACCGCCACTCGGTACAGTGTGTATGGTGCTGATGTGGAATCATTGACGGGGGTCGCTTTGCCCGGAACCGCTTCCTGACCTTCTTTTCTCATTAAATTACGTACATAACGACCCAATCAGTGGGGCCCTAACTGGCTGATAATAAGGATGACAGGCAAAATTATACTAAAACAAAAACTAAGTCGTTTTTTGAAAAAGGTTTATGATTAGAGTACCCAATATCAGTAATATTACGGTTACGAAGAAATTGTTTCTTATCTATGTAGTTCAAAAGTGACAATATTATTAGGGTTAACGTTTCGGCTTATTCAAATTATTGATATTATATATTTATCGACTTTATTACATATTGAACAATAACTTTCAAACATAAACCTATTTATTTACAACAATAATTTACTAGTTAAATATAACAAACACCATAATCTCTTCTATTTAGCAGAGACATTAATAAATTGCAAATATTGATAAGTAAACATAACTCTGTGATAACCCAAAAATAGTTATCTGTCGATACGAATATGATTAGGTTCAATCGTTTTTATAGAGCGAAGTATTTGACCTTGTTTGATAAATGATTCTTTAGGCCCACAATATAAAAATGAAATTGAATATATCATCAAATTTTTTATATATTTAAATGGATTTTTTCTCGATTTTTTTTCTTATATTTGCTGTCGAGTAAATGTTTATTAATAATGAAATCGTTTGTCATATAATATATTTCATTATGTCTATATAAAAAATCCAACGGCGGGATGTCAACTTCAAGTTGTAAGTAGTGGCCCGCGCTACTAATAATATCGGACTTTCGCAGAATTGTCCTGCTGTACCACTATTCAGTTAATTTTTACGTAATAAGTAATAACGCATAATATTTTTACGCATCTCAATAGAATTTCAACTACTTTCATTTTGTCATTGCACAATCTAAGTCAAATATTATTATATATCTCACCTCACTCACTGTAGATATAGCACGAATAATATTAGACTTAAGGTAAATAATACAATGGAAAAATTTAAGTAGTTGAGTTTATATAAAGATACGATTTTTATATAAATATTAGCAGAATTGGCATGCAGGCCGCTGAAGCCCAACCTCCCACTAGCAGCCAGCGAGTTAAACAGTGTCCCATCATCGCCGTTTGCAATAGTTTGCATATCGTGGTGTGCAAACTTGCAGACGACGCCGTGATTCTTCTGAGCCGTTTAAATATGCTATGACGTTTCTTCTACGCTTTATAGGTTATTTAATTTAAAAGATGAAAATTGACCATTCATACCCCACCCTCGATCTCAGACTCTACTACTTTATAATGACCAATTCCTTATTTATACAGGAAATAATCATATATTTATATATTACAAGGAAACTAAAATGAAAACATGGTTTTTAGAATTGAATACTTGTACAGAACCCTCGGCGTACAAGTCCGTCTCACTTTTGACCGTTTTTTTTAAAATACTTTTACAGTGCTATTAATAAAGAAGATTTGGCATCAGAGTAAATTTACGCTAAAAATGCAATTTTAGTATTAGTCCAAATTCATATTATACAGAGAATCAGCAAATCTACTCCATTCTAGGTGTAAATATTATATTACTCCCGTAGAACCTCGTTAGACTAGAACTAGGTTAATCTTTTCTAAATCTCTGTTTAATAATACTCTAACGCTAAACCTTGTTTATTAATAACACTGTTAATGAATTAAACAAACGATTTTTATAAATAACTTTTTATACAAAAGCTCGGGTAGACGGTCGAATGAAACAAAAAGAAATTAAGCCTTTTGTTTATAAATAACAAGTCTAAACTAGCGGTTCGATATGGAAGAATTTTAACAAGCCCTTTGTTAGTAAGTCTATTAGATGCGGAGGCGCAGACGGCCGCCCCTGATAGAATAACGGCTAACATCCACCTGAAGCCAAATAGAAGAAATATGCTAATTTGTAGCTTCCAAGGCCTTGTTTTTGTGGCATGAAGGATTTAAAACGGAACTTTTATGTACCCACAGTCTGTTACTGGATTAATAGTTTTTGTTTTTTTTACGAGATAATCCACTTCGTAAATATTACATATTTGGCATACATATATACATCATCATCATTACCAACCTAGTAACAACCCCACTATTGGGGCTCGGGCCTTCCCTACGGTTGGAATCGAATAGGGACAATGGGCCATCACCCATCACGCGGGCCCAGTGCGGATTAGTGGTTGTTAACGATTGTACATGCAATTTTTAACCAACGGATTTACTCGAGTTAATAAATTTTTGGTTATCCTAAGATCGGTATTGCCAACCGAGCGCATTTATCACCGCGTCATCGAGTTGCCATCGAGATTATAATTCAATGATGGAATAAATTAATTGTATAGTATAATTAACGCTAGGCACATAACAATAATACTAATAGTCACTATCTGTTGCAGCATAATTTATGCTCAGCTATACAATTTTAACTACCGCAGACTTCAATAAGAAATTCTAAATTTATTCAAATTTAAAAATAAAACTTTTT